CCATACCCAGCTAATTTTTATATTTTTAGTAGCGATGGGGTTTCACCATGTTGGCCAGGATGGTCTCGCTCTCCTGACCGCATGATCCCCTCGGCCTCCCAAAGTGCTGGGATTACAGGCATGAGCCACCATGCCCGGCCCAAAGAACATTCTTAAGTACAGTAAGACAAAGATGACGTCTATGATTTCCATCAAACAAAAGCCAACATCAAATTTTAGATCAATTTGCTTCACTAATTTTTTTAACTCAATAAAAGAGTTCAAAATTAAATTTTGAGCAAACTTTGAAAGTAACTGGGCCCTAGCCATCACATTTACAATGGAGTACCTTTTTGCATAGAAGGCTTATCTTCACCTTTTCTGTTTTCACTCAGCCTTTTGATGAAATTTGCTTGTATAGATGAGTAGGTAGTTTTTCTCAAGATATTACCTGTAGCTTTCCTTAGGATAGATTATGTGACATTTTTATTACTTCTGTCACTTAACCAAAGTTAGCATTTTCATTTTCATTTATGATAGGTTTTGTAAATGTCAAATTTCTTGTTAAAGAGTCAGACTTGACATTCCAAAAGGCAAAGGATGATATAAATAATATTCAAGTATACACAACTAGAGTTGGAAATAATTTCAATCACTTTCTCCCACCCTCCCAAAATCAAGGTAACCTACTTTTCAAATATTTATTTGAAAGGAATAAATCAAGCTTCAGAAAAAAAAAAGAATGACATAGGGTATTCTAAAATGTGATATATCTATCCATAATTCAAGTATAAAGACCATGAATAATCAGAGAAAACCAATGTGAAATCCATTTGGTATGACTTGTAGCATACATTTACAGTTACTTAACCCTGACTTGAATTCCTTAGAATTAACTTTTACAGAATTATAGAGGATTTAAAATTAGGTTTCCATCAATTTTAGAGGTAAGCTAAAAATTTTGTTCTTCTATTATTTCCAGGGAAGTAGAACTGTTGAAGTGTATTGGTGATCAGGTTGTGACTTTCATTTCCTTTCTTTATTTTCTCAATTTTTAGGAAACTATAAACTGGTAGATTCTTTAACACACTTTCAAAGGAAAAGGGAATGACTCAGCTTCTTTATGAAGATCACTGGGTTCAGGATACTCACATAAATTTAGGGTCACAAACACAGCTACTTTTGGGGGCTAAATGACATGCATGGGGGCATGAGTGAGGCAGGGATGAAGGCAAGCTGGAAAGTGCCTGCTCATTTACCGCAGTCCAAGAAAGCACAGTCCTGCAAACATGGGACATCAAAAGGACAATGGCTTCTGCTATGTTCAGAGAAGCCCAAAACACATTTTTTTTTCTAAGTATTCAATCTCCCAATTTTGAAATGTTAGCAATTATTTTCCTGAAAACATTGCCTATGGTCTGCGAGCTGCATTTGGCCTCTAAGCCACCATCTGCAAGCCAGTACTGCCCAACAGAAGATCATACTGCGAGCTAATCCAGTAACCACAACGCCTTACAACAAGACATAGAATTGTCAAATTCATTTCAAGTCTCATGTAGGCTGATTTGAGCACCATCTTTGAGAGACTGAACAAATACGAAAAGGTTGCTTGATGATTTAAGAATCAAAGTAAACAGTTTTATGATTTGAATAGACAGTATCGTCAAGTGATTAATAAGTTGGTACACTCATTTATTTGACAAAGATATATTGAGTGCCTTGCATGTACCAGGCACTGTTTTAGCCACCAGGCATACAGCTCAGTACAAGGCACCTATCCCCGAAGGTGCTTACATTCTAGAGGCAGAATGTAAACAAATACAGAGGTAATAAATAACTAAGCAAACAAGAAAAATAGCAGCTGATGATAATGATCATGCAGAAAATTAAAAACAGTAATTTGTCAACAGGTGTCTGGCCTTCCTATACTGGTCCATGGATCTCAAACCTCACCCCCTGAGACTGTCAGAGTGTCAAATTCTTCCTCTTTACTCCTTTTGCTCAGGTTATGAGATCACTTGTGATATGTTTTAATAAATTGAAGGCCACTTTATTTTAAAGTAGTTACATTTTAATCTTCTTGACTAGATTTGGTGGAAATATCAATCCAGGAGGGATTTAGGGAAACCTCTAATCTAATCAACAGCTTAATTACAATGCCTAGGTCAGTGCTGCAGACGGTTAATTTCAACCATTTTATGTTGCCTCCTTTTAGCTTCAGTTTTAGAGGACACCATTTTCCAGTGTGTCTCTAAATTCTAAGAATGTACCATTTGAGGATTTTTACCACCTTTTGGGAACAAAGACTAATAACATCTTCATAGTGAAACTCTTTTCCTAGGGCCAGGGCTTCTCCCACGTAAAAATGCACACTAACAAACATCTTTGTAAACTCTTCCCTATAGTTGCCCCTGTATGATGAAATGGAGAAATCCTGGCATGTCCAGTCAGAAAAACTGGGTTCAAAACCAGATGTTTGGCTCAGCTGTGGACCAACTCTTTGATCTGGTAGTCAGTCACCTGATCCTTGCTGTTTCTCTTTGAAAGCCCACTTCTTGGGGCGCTGAATGTGAGGACTGAGTGAGAGTGTGAATTTGAAAGCCAACTCTGAAACGCTGGCTATGATAGTTATTCTGATTGGAAGGGCCATTAAGGTCAATGGCAATGCTCCTTTTGTGATCAGTTACAAGAAAACAAATGGGTCCTTGTGACTGTGGGGGAAGGAGGCAGAGCCAGACACAAAGTGGATCTCTTCTGGAAAATCAGCCGCTGAAAGGAAAACAAATAAAATCTGTAAAGTTATATTTCAATTCAAAAAGAAATGTGAATTGTATGTAATGGCAAGAGGAGCACTGGTAATAACACATGGCTAACATTCATCGCGAACTTACTCTGTTCCAGACATGGAGGTCATAACTTTGCATGTATTAGCTCTTCAAATGAGGGGAGGAGAGGGAAGGAAAAGAAAAGTTAAGCTAATAAATAATGTGAAGTTAAAAAAAATTACCGCGTACATAACGTGCACTATCGTGTCCCCACCAGCCCCCCCGCCCCCAGCTCTTTATACATGTGGTTTCCAGACCCATTTCTCAGAGGTTTGGTGTCTTTTGCAGCCCTTTGGGCCCCTTCCGCCCATTGTTATCTAATCTCCCCTTCTCGGCCACGCAGGAAGGTCCACAACCTCCCCTGTCCCCCAAGACCCGCCCCCCAGCAGCCTTCAGAAATAGTTCTCTCGTATGTAGGTGCCAGCATTTTATGCGGTAAACACATGTTGCCCTTAACACTGAACTGCAGGTTAAAAATGTATTCCACTAAATTATGCAGCGGTTAGTTGAGCAAATAATGAAAATGCAAAAGAATACATTCAGTATATGGAGCTTAGAACATATCCTTTTGGAAAGCTAAACATTTTTTATTTTTTATTTTTGCCCCAAATAAGACTAGAAATGGATTGCTCAATTAATAAACTTCTCAGAATATGAAATGTCTCCAATATGTGGGGACGCTGGGGTGAAAGGTGCCGGATAATTCTCATTGGTGCGTGCGCTGGGTGCAGGAGGAAATATGCTAACGTAGCCGTTTGCCGCAGGGTTGGTGTTATTTATACAGCGCTGGCTGGGCAAGGTTGGCGCTGGAGCAGGAGAGGAAGGAGAGGTTTGTCTTCTATGAGAGTATAGATGTGTGCGCCTGTGCACACGGCGTTCCAAACGTGAATACAAGATCTTAGGGAGGGGGTGGGGAATGCCATCACGTTTATACCGTGTGTATTGTAACTTGTGTTGGAGATCTATCCCAGCATCGTGCTTACATCGCATTCACTTAGGAGTGGGGGAAGAAATGGCGATTTGGGAGTGGGTGCGGCGGGTCGCAGGTGGCCAGACACTGCGGGGGACTGGCGACCTGAAACTGGCAAAGGCGCCTCCTTGACCCTGCTCCACGGACACAAAAATCAACCTTATTCGCTCCTGGAAAAAGCGCAGAGGGTTGTTCCCGAAGGCTGAAGACCCTCGGGCTTGGGACTGGGAGCGGGGCGCGGGCAGCGGGACGGCCGGGCACCTCTGAAGAGACAGAGGTCGCGGAGACTGGCGCGCGCGGAGTGGGTGGGGGGCCCGCGCGGCTGCGGGAACCCAGCCTCACAGAAGACCCGGCCCACACGTTCTCAGCGCATGCCGACTTCGCCCGGACCCCTCGCCGGCCGGCGCCCCCTGCTACGCCCGCCTCCTCCTCCCCCGCCCCGCCCGGCGCGAAACGGGCACGGGCAGGGGATCCTCCAGCCAGGCGGGCCCGGGGTGTCCCGTTTCCCCCGCCCCCCCTCCTGTGGATCCCGGGCGGCGGCGGAGCGTCCGGGCTGGAGGGGGCGCTCGCGCGCAGGAGCCGAGCGCAGCAGGTGCCGCGGTTACCTCCACCTCGGCGGGGGGAGAGGGGGCGGGCCGGGGGGCAGGGAGGAGGGGAGGAGGAGGAGAAGGAGGAGAAGCAGCGGGGCCGGCTCCAGGAGCCCGAGAGCGCGGCCGGCTCGGCAGGCTGGGTCCCAAGCTCGCGGCTTCCGGGAGGCGCCCGGAGTCGGAGAAATACAGCGCGGCCACCCCGGGAGCAGCAGCAGTTGCCCGCACCGCCGCCCGCACCGCCGCCCGCAGGGCCCTGAACCGCCGGCAAGGGCGCGGGCCGGGCGCGGCGCCGGCTCCTCCTCCTGCCGCGGCCGGCGCGGAGCAGCGGAGAGCGGCGGACTCGGCAGCCGGCGCCCGGGCCGCGGAGCCGATGAGCTGCGGCGGCTGAGGGCCCGGCCGGCCTCTGCCCGCCTCTGCCCGGCGCCCGAGCGGGGCCACAGCGCCCGGGGCGCGGGGTCCGGCGGGTGACATGGGGGCGGCCTGACGCACCCGGAGCCGCCGAGCGCTCTCTCTTGAGCCGTGGGCCCTCCTCGGCGGCAGCGGCTGCAGGCGCCTGGCCCGGCGCGCTGTGCCCGGGGCGCCCGCGGAGCCTCCGCCGCGCTCTATGCGCCTCTGCGGGAGCCGCGGGCCCGGGCCATGGCCATAGACCGGCGGCGCGAGGCGGCAGGCGGCGGGCCCGGGCGGCAGCCGGCCCCGGCCGAGGAGAACGGCTCCCTGCCGCCCGGGGACGCGGCGGCCTCGGCGCCCCTCGGGGGACGCGCGGGCCCCGGCGGCGGCGCGGAGATCCAGCCGCTGCCTCCGCTGCATCCTGGAGGCGGCCCGCACTCGAGCTGCTGCTCGGCTGCTGCGGCCCCGAGCCTCTTGTTGCTGGACTATGACGGGTCGGTGCTGCCCTTCCTCGGGGGCCTGGGCGGGGGCTATCAGAAGACCCTCGTGCTGCTCACCTGGATCCCGGCGCTGTTCATCGGCTTCAGCCAGTTCTCGGACTCGTTCCTCCTGGACCAGCCCAACTTCTGGTGCCGCGGGGCCGGCAAAGGCACCGAGCTGGCGGGGGTCACCACCACAGGCCGGGGGGGGGACATGGGCAACTGGACCAGCCTCCCCACCACCCCCTTCTCCACTGCCCCCTGGGAGGCTGCGGGCAACCGGAGCAACAGCAGTGGCGCGGACAGAGGCGACACACCACCCCTGCCATCCCCTCCGGACAAGGGGGACAACGCCTCCAACTGTAACTGCCACGCGTGGGACTACGGCATCCGCGCCGGCCTCGTCCAGAACGTGGTCAGCAAGGTAAGGGCCGCGGCCGCCCAGTCCCTCCGACCCTCTCCATGCAAATCGAGGTCCAAGCCCGAGCCAGCTGGAGACCCGAAGTCCCCAAAGTGGTGGTGCTAGAGTGTGTGTACGGCATTCCGCACTGGCTTAATCTCCTTCCGTCCCCCAAACCACATCCCTTTACTTGGGCATAAAGGGAGCGCCCTAGCCTTTACTAGTTTGCACCCAAACTCCTGTCCCAGTACGCGGATGGAAAGCGCGCCCTTCCCCCACCCTCGGGGCGAGGCAGCTGACCTGTCACCAGCCCGCTCTGGAGGAGTCGGACTGGCGTCGTTCAAGGTCTGCTGGGGGAGCCGGGACCACGGCCCTGTTCTGCCCGGTTAGTTGTCCCTGCGTCTCCCACAAAGCAATAGTCTCCCATCTCGCACTTGATTTTGACAGAGGTAAAGCCCACTAAAGAACTGGAGAGCCAGAGAAGCAAAGACTCCTGCAAATCTCCAACCCGCACCCGTGCTCAGTCCTCCCCCAAAGATATCTGACTTTAGACTTTACTGCCCCAGTGTCTCCTCCAGTGTTTTCTCAGCACTTCAGTAAACATCACTACAGTATAGGAAGGACGTGGAGAATATGTCATTTGGGTGTTCCTGGGCTGTTGCCGCTCTTACACAGCAGCTGCTTTGGGCTGAGGCACAGAGAACGGGGTGTGCTTTAGCTGAAACATGCACCTTGTCCTCTGAGTCGTGTAGCTAAAGCTCCCTTGCAGAGGTATTGCATGGTGTGAAATGTAGCAGAAGGGAGTTATAAGACAAGTGTGAGGGCCTAAACACAGAGTGGGCAATGGTGGACACTCAATGCCCTAGACAGCTATAATTTTATTCTTAACATATAGGAGATATCAAGACATTTGTAGTTTTGCTCCTTGTGTCTAAAATAAATAATTCACATTTTAAAGTAAATATAGACTCTCCCCCACCCCACCCCCCTACCCATTCTGGGCAGTTCTGGCAGAGTTTTAAATGCTTTGTCGAAATGTATGAAATTGGACAGTTTTAAATAGTCATTGGGCATGTAACCTCCTCCCCCCATGTGCATTGGTTAACAGTTGTAGCTCATGGATGTGTAAGATGAAACTCTTACATCATCATAATCATTGTTTTAATCTTGTACCAACCTGGCCAGAAATGCTCTGTCCTGTGGGAACCGTCTGACTGAGCTGCCCCTGCTGCCCTGCAAGGTAATGGGGTAATGTCCTTCTAGCTGGGTTCACCTTGATCCCACCCACCTCCTACCCCCTGCTTTCTAAAGGTGTTTCTGTGACTGTTTTCATTTCACGGAGGGCAATATTTCTTTTTTGGTTTAGCAGCACAGAAAAATTAAGAACAATGACTATTTAAATCACTGTGTATGTCTGACAGACTGAGGATTTGGCAACATTGTTAAGTATTTTAAGTCCCTTTCTAGAGCAGAGGGAGAATAATGGATCAAAGTGAGTATGTGTGAAGAGTGCTGTGTCCAGGGGTCAAAGCAGAGGTGAACTTGAAAGTGACGAGGTGGGATAGAGTGCCATTACCTTGGCAGTGAGGACCCAGGAAACAGCTATTCACACTCAGCCATGCGTGGTGGGAGGAGAGAACAAAAATAGTTCTTAAAAGCAGACTATGGAGGCATATTGGAGAGCTGGGCAGTTTTTCTAAATTAGCACTCGAGAGGGGCACAGACAGCACTCATGTGTGTGGCATGTTTTGGGTGATGCTTGATGACAGTTGCAGTTACTGGGCCAGACTGAGAGGGAAAACCTGGGAACAATAATTAGACACACATTTTCTTATACAGTAAACCCTAGAAAGGACATATTGATTTTCACAGACAAAAAAGATCTAAATAAAGGACTGCCTTCCCAGTGTTCTGTGTGTTTCAAGCACATAACAAATGCTTCAAAGAGCTTTTCAAGCACATTTTGGCCTGTTGGAAGGCAGACTTTTCCTGTGCTGCTGTGTATGTCGAATACTGTAGCAGATGCACAAATGTGGGATATACACTATGATGAGTGCAGAAGTTCTAGGGGTCAGGTGCTTGTCAGCCCGTGTCCCAAGTAGAAGCAGAAGTGGAAGGAGCCTTTGCCTTCTCTCAGCAGATAAAGGCTTCGGGTTTGAGAAGCTGCCTTTTGTGCCTCTTTCCTGCCCTGTTCCATGATCTTTCCCTTGCAAATAAGCCTCATGCTGTCTTCAGCATGTATCCTGTATTTAGCATGTATCCTTTAGCGTGTGTGCCCTGCAATATATGCACTGTTCTGTCCCTAGGTGCCAGACAGGGAGAGGAAGACAGAAGAGCTACCAGGCACAGTTCTGGCTCCTTCTCATGTGGCTGCTGGTATCCTAGCACCTACCTACACACGTGAAACTGTCAAGCCAGTGAGAATCCCAGGTTATTGTAGTTAAGAGGGATCTTAGGGCTGACAAGCCTCTCTCCCCTTCTGCGTGATGTCTCTGACATGAAGTTATCCATCCTAGTTTGAACACTTCCATCAATGGGAAGGGAGCGCTTTGTTAACAAGGCAGCTAGTCCATCCCGTAGTTGCTCTTCCTTGCAGGGAGGTACACTTTTTGGTAAATAAAACTCAGGTTAACTCATGCCTATTTGTGCCACTTCCTCCTCAGAACAATTGTGTTTTTTTTAATTATTTCTTAAATAAAATGTGCTTTCAATAGCTTCTTTCCTGGCTGAAAAATCTACAGTAGTTAAGCTATTCTATACGTACAAAAATTTGCCATACTTATTGCTCTGGTTGGCATGCGTGTCTCTTACGCATGGTACCCAGAAAGCAACTCAGCCAGACCCTGTGTGTTCTAACCCAAAGAGGGGATTGATGGATCCTGTCCTTCCCCTACTGCAACCTAGAGTTGATGCATTAGGCTTAAACTAGACATGACATACTTCTGCTGCCAGACCGTGATCACCAACCCCCACCAACTCCCACCAATGCTGGTTTCCTGGGAGTGGTGGATGAAGTCAGGATTTTCTCAGTTTTAGGCTCATGTAGCATGACCATGACTTAGGTTTCATCTTAATCATTTTGAGTTTCTAGATCTCTCCTGTTAGTATCTTTTTGTTTTTATTTTTTGCCTTGGCCATGGTATTTGTTATCGGTACCAGCATTTGCATTACAGAATCTGCAATGCCTTCAAAATAATGACAACGCTAATGTCACTTTCTTTTGTGCAGCCCTTTACAGTTGATAAAACATTTCATGTACATTATTTTCTTTAATTAAGAATAATAACCCAAGGCCAGTCTCCGGTGGTACGATCACAGTTCTCTGAAACCTCCCCCTCCCAGGCTTAAGTGATCTTTCTGCCTCAGCCTCCTGAGTAGCTGGGACTACAGGCATGCACCACCACACCTGGCTAATTTTTATTTTTATTTTTATTTTTTTGCAGAGATGGGGGTCTTGCTATATTGCCCAGGCTGGTCTTGAACTCCTGGCCTCAAGCAGTCCTCCTGCCTCGGCCTCCCAAAATGTTAGGATTACAGGTGTGAGCCATCAGCCAGACTAATAGCAAGTGATAATCATGGATTTTAAGTCACTGATCACACATTTGAGCGTGCCATGTGTTCTGTACAAGAACCAGGTACAGATGCTCCTCTGCTTAGGATGGGGTTGTGGTTGTGTCCAGATAAACCCCTCATCAGTTGGAAATATTGAAAGTGGAAAATACATTTAATACACCTAACCTATTGAATATGCTGGCTTAGCCCAGCCTACCTTAGGTGTGCTCAGAACACTCACATTAACCCACAGTTGGGCAGGATCATCTCACGCTAAGCCTATTTTATAATGTGTTGAATATCTCATGTAACTTATGGAATGTAACTGTACTAAAAGTGAAAAAGAGAATGGTTGTGTACTTCAGATACTCACGCAACCATTGTGTTTTTCACTTCTGGTGAATAAAGCAGCCCTTATTGATACAGTTTCTACTGAATGTGTATTGTGTTCACACCATCATCAAGTCAAAATATCATCAAGTCGAACCGTTTTAAGTCGGGGACCATCTGTGTTCAACTTTCTGATGACTTTCATAAGCTCTGCATTTTATCTCCCAGCTCTGTTGAAAGGTATTGTCAGTGCCTTGCAGAAAAGAATCAAATTCCTTCCAAGTCACATAGACAGCAAGTTTTGGGGAACTAAGGACAAACAGGTCTGCAGCTCAGCTCAGTTGGCTTCCCTCTCCTACACCAGCATTCCCTGTGCAGCCCAGATTCTCAGATATTCTGAGATCTTAGTCAACAAAGGTAAAACAAACAAAAAGAAACTCCATGGACTTACAAATATTGCTCTTAATGATTTGCACAGGCTGGGGGCAGTGGCTCACGCCTGTAATCCCAACACTTTGGGAGGCCTAGGTGGGTGGATCATCTGAGATTAGGAGCTCGAGACCAGCCTGGCCAACATGGTGAAACCCCATCTCTACTAAAAATAGAAAAATTAGCTGGGTGTGGTGGTGTGCGCCTCTAATCCCAGCTACTAGGGAGGCTGAGGCAGGAGAATCTCTGGAGCCTGGGAGTGAGAGGTTGCAGTGAGTGAGACTGCACCACTGCAACTCCAGTCTGGGTGACAGAGTGAGACCTTGTCTCAAAAAATAATAATAATTGGCACAGTGTATCCTTCATTGTTCTGAGTGAATCAGTTGGTTTCTAATACTCATCACTTTCTTGAGTAATCTCTGGAATTTTTGCCAATAATCAATGCCAGCTGAACTTCCCAAGCCCAATTTTTTGTCTGTATTTGAAGTGTAGGATGTTTGTCCAGCTCCAATCTTCTGGTAGCATTTCCTCTGTTCTCATGAATTTGCAAAGATTTCTGACCCTTATCCTGAAAGTTGCTTAAATATCCTGGGAAGTAATTTGTATCCTTTTTCTAGGGCTAAAGAGTAGAAGTTATTTAAAGTGACTTTAAGTACAATTTAATTAAGACTAGAAATAATTATATCATTGCAACAGTAACACTTTTAAAAATA